AGAGGCTAATAAATTTAAATTATTTAAAAACAATTGTGACTAATATTTACATATTGATGTGCAGCTGAGTGCACTTTATAAAAGACTATATAATGGATTAATGCAATATCTTTAATAAGGACTTAATATGAAAGTAGGGTGTACTCATGTTCCTTCTCAAACACAATCTCTTAGAATTATTTGAAAAGACTGCATAATGTAATGTTTTCTGTGTGTGGAAATTAGAGCAATAATCTTTCATCTTTTTGAAAATAACTTCAGAAAACTCAAGGCAAGGCACTGCAGTCTGAATCAGAATTTTGCAGTCTTTTTGTGAATACATTTTGTAAATATGATCTTTAAGATAATGTATTATATATATGACTTTTGTAGGTCACTAACTCATTTTTGCAGAGTTTGTGAAGCTAAGTATTTAACAAAATTGATTTCTGTAAACTCAGTGTAGTTGAGGTCCAAATAGAATTTTTTTTTTAATTAAATTTAATGAATTTGAAGCTGGGTGACTTTGGCCCACATTTTCCTCTTCTTTGGTCTTCAACACTTCATTTATTTTTACATCTTTAACATATAGCTTTTTATAAAAGACCAGTTGTTAAATGCTTTCTCCACCTGTGAGCACTTTGTTACATTTCTTTTCACATAAGGCAATTTGGCAAAAAGGCTCTGCATTGTAAGATGTTAGGACTTGCCATGACGGCCACGTCTTTCTATATGTTGCCTTTTCAGTTCATAAATCTGGATTGTGTCTTTTTTTGGTCAATTTTAATGAACTCTAAATGTTCTTCAAAAATGTCTGTCTGTTGCAAAATAGTTGTTGTTACATGACATCCAGAAATCTTTAAGGATATTAAGCCACACTTTAACCAAATGTCTGCACCTCATTGGATTGTTCTAATCATAATGAATGTATTTTCTAAGCAGGTTTCTCTCATATCAGTATTTAAGTCTGGTTACAAATTTATTCATATTATTTGCTGATAGGTTCCCCTCCCCACCATTTTGGTTCCTTGAAGATCCCTTTACAGATTTTCCAGTTTCAGGCAGTTACAACGAGTCAAACCTCTGAACTTCCATAAGGGATGACTCGGAAATGTTTAAGGTGTGTTGTGCTTTTGGTCTGGTGTTCACGGTGTAATGGAAACTGACTTCTCCCAAGTGAGTAAAAAAAAATTATCTGTGTTCTTGATTGCTTCTTCTTGGTACTGTAAGCAAGAGGTGGTTTTATTGTTCAGAATATTCAGTGATCTTCCATTTTAGTAGAAATAACTTTATCTAGAAATATTCTCCAAAAGTTTATTCTTAGCACACAGCCAGTTGTGTTCTAAAGGGAATGTAGATTCAATCGATCTACTTTATGCAACCCTGTCTCTGCAATTAGTGCCGAGTCTATAGATTAGGTGATAGTATTTATTTGAAACCTTCAGTCCAATTCATGTGTGTGTTTTAATGCAAAACTTGTAAAAACCTAAGGAACTTTTATCTGCTTTTTTACTTCTTGGAACATATCTATTTGTTGAGTAAATGCTGCCTACTGAAGTTGAAAGGCAACAATCCCTTGCTTTTTATATCGAACCAGAGTAGAACAATCTTTATATTTTGTAGTTGTTCATTATATTGATGGAAACTACAAACCCTGACTGCTTTCATTAGGTGAGCTCTTAGACAATATACTACTTTATACATTGTGCCCTTTTACTTTTTCTTAAATGAGTGATTCTGTTTATACATCTATGTATAACTGGTACCTGACTGATGTTATAAAGGATCATCATTTTCTCATCTGTGTTTAGAATGTTGGAGCTTTACAGTATCTACTTTTTTGCTGAATCCAAAGATTTTTAGTTTAAACTTGATTAAGAGGGGGAAGGGGGGCATTTTTAAAATGTATTGATGACATCTTTCTTGGCAGCACTGATCCTAAGTACTACATCAGGTTTGAAAATCTTCCTGACTGCAGTAAATAAAACTGAGATCTGTTAAAATTTAATATCTCCCATCAATTCTGTTTTAGTTCTATAGCAGATTCTCCTATATTTAAAAAAAACCCCAAACCTGTGTAACATTTTTCAACAGTAAAAGAACAATTAGCTAGTGCAACAACCTCTGATCACTGCTGCGTAATGAGTGTCATTTTGCTACATCTCTGTTACTCTTTTGATCACAGAAACCATGTTTTAATGAAATTCATTTGTAGTATTTATTTCCAGACTTGGCCTAAAATACTACTTTTAAAGTTGGAAAATCAGGACCCTTTTTTCAGTCATAAGAAAGAAGTATTTGAATGTTGCACCGATTAGCACACATTTTATTTTAGAATTTATGTGCAGACTACCAGATGACAGAATGATACAGCAAGTATGAAACCATGTAATTCTGAGAGCAATATTTTAAAAAATTCTCAGGAGAAGGCATACAGTATTGAGAATTGCATTTAAGTTTAGTTTACATTATAAGTATTGCTTGAAATATCTGTATTTTGCAAAACAGAAAAATCACGGAGACTGATTTATAAAAGAGTTGGTTGTAAGGTATTACTGCTCTTCTGATTTTTGTGTTTGGATGTTAATAATAATGTAAATAAAGGTTTCTATTTAAAATTGGAACTTGGTGACGCAGTGTATTAGCTGGCTGATAACTGTATCCTGGAAAGGTCAGAGAAAAATCCAGTGCTACTACTGAAGAAAGCTATGGATAGTGAATGATTTAAATTTTTGCCCTAATTGGCCATAAAAGCGAAGGGAATGACAACTTTGACCTTTCACCTCTAAGACCCATTTAGCAACTGAAGTTGCATTAACATTGCCTGGAATTTGTGTCTTTTTCAGTGTAAAAAGCAGCCTTTAGCAGAGCTGAAAAGAGAAGAGGTGGTAGCTTTCCCCATAACTTGGCAGCAACCTACCTTTCCTAAAACAGCGGCTGCTGCTGCTTGTGTCACACACAAGCCCCACAGCTCAGTGTTTGTATAACGGGACGGGGTCAGTTCTCAGGCTTCTGACTGACAGGTAACACTGGCCACGCAGGACAGTGATACGCCCTCGGCAAAGACAACAGGCTGAACACAAACAAAAGGTAAGTGCAAATTTTTTTTTAATCTAACCTAGTATTCTTTCTGCATACTCACTGGGAATGGTAAAAAGCTAGCACTTTTCTCTGGAAAGCAGCAAAAATGTGTTTCTACTGCTGAGTTCAAAGTCAGTATTTTTTACTTATTTGTATTGCTCCAGGATCTCATCATCTAGCAGATGTTTCTGATAGTCCATGAAATCTGTAACAGGTTATAAACAAAATCTATGGCTAGATTAAGACAATCATATATTACTTCCATAATTAAAAAAAAAAAACTTGCAAGAAGATTTTGGGAAATGTATTTGACTTATTCACATGTGATACAAATACAAGCTCAAGCCTAGTTTTACTATATAGCACATACAATGAGAGACCCCACTGCCACTTTTTGAGTGTGTTGGTTTTTTTTTTTCAAGTATATTTTTTTGAGTATATGGTGAGGATCTATATCCATCGTGAAGTAATTCCACTTGAATTTGTGCAAAACCAGGAAGGCTACCAAAATAGTTTCCATGATGTGTTTTTACACTGGGTTTCTAGGAGTGCAGGCTAAGTTTGTGTTTTGAAAAAAAGTACCTCTTTGTTAACAGTGAAGGCCACAGCTGGTCGAGTCTGTCACGTGAGCTCCCTCCTGCATGTGCCTTTAAAACAGGTTGCAGGGTAACATGAAAAAAATTATAAATACAGATATCACTGCTAGTGCCTGGACTACAATGTATTTAATAATGTCTTTATGAAAATACTCAAATAGACTCTGTACACTGTGCTTCCTTACTAAAATGATGTTTTTTTCCCTTTAAAAGCCTTTAAACAGTAACTGTTATTCAGAACATCTACTTTTCTGTAGACTAACTATAATGAGATTATTTTTTATTGGCTACAAGTATTGAACTTCTTGGAGCTGCCTTTTTAAAAAATAAATGTAAAAGTTTACTACTAAGCAAATGCTGCTTTCTCAAAGGAATTGTTTTGGTTTTGAACATACAGTAGAATATTACCACATAAAAAAACTTCATACAAATCTGATTTCATTAAAATTTAAGATGTACATTTACTGAATTTTTTCAGTACTTTTAAAAATGGATAAATTCTGAAATGTACTATGCAACATTAAGTAACATTTTGAGAAATGGTTTGTGGGCATTCCACTCTTTTTATTAACAAAATTCTTCACAACCTGAAGGAATTTCTCTTCAAACAGTATATTGATCAATATTTACACAACCCCTCAAAAAAATCTGGTGTCCTGTTAGTCAAGGTTTTCTCTAATTTTCCTAGAGGTGCCAACAGGATGGAGAAGTAGACATGGAACTAAAATGTATCCTCAGAGGAAATCTGAGAAATGATCATGGTGTTGAGAATATTCAATGCTGCTCGCTTCAACTCCTGAATCTCTTAAAAGTTCTTTTCCACCATTAACTTTACCCCAGTTAGAAGCAAAAGCATCCATGTTTTCTAAATCTTGCTGTAGAGTTATACTTGGCTTTGAAGTTTTTCTCATGACAACTGAAGATATAGTTGAACTGAAAAATGTTTTATTTCCACTGTCTTTGTGTACACTTTGCCGCCTGGGATGGCAATCCTCTCTGGGATGCGGCTGCATTTCCTCTTCTGTCAGTTCCTGGATCCGTGTTAGTGGTGTCTTCTTGAAGTAAGATGCTTTGTGAAGCAGGTGAGGTATAATCCAAAGCAAAAAGCAGGTACAATAGGGGATTTCAGAGACCTGTATTTCTGACAGCATTTCCCATCATTTCACTGCATCTAATTCACTCACCAGTGCAAACGTTCTATCTATTTCAGCCTCAGCGTTTTTCCAGTTCTCCAGGCTAACACGATGATTCTTTCTGAAGTCAGACACGTTTTCATTTAGTCTGTACACTGATTCAAGTTCTGGCCAGTTTGTATCCTCATGGAGGTGCAGCAGTTGGGGGAGGTTAGCCCTCCCATCCTTCCCACAGTTGTCCTCTTTAAAATAAAACAAACAGGATTTAGTGTATAACATTCTAGTAGGAAGTGGTTAAAATGTATTTTCAATGGTTCCATGCAGGAAAAACCAATTGAAACACTGTGGACCAGCTAGAAAAACACAGCTGGTGTGTCACAGAAACAATCCATGATGTGTGAAACTTCAACCTGTACAGAACTTGTAGCTCATTAATTCTCGCTTCTTTTGAGTTCTAACACTAGTCTTTGATGTCTTCAACTAGAAATAAAAATATTACCATGAAATGAGCAAATCCTCTTGGGCAAGTTGAGAATGCTGGACTGTGCCTGTTAAGGTACTTTTACATATTTTTTCACTGCACAATTTGAGAGCAACTTAGGATTTTAATGAGCTGAAGTCTGAACTGTTTAAGGGGAGATACAGAGCCAGTAACTGGCATGGCAAAGGTAACTATTTTTCATGTCTTTAAATTTATATCTCACCTTTGGGCTGTGGCAAGTTGAGAATTGAATATCATCCTCAAGTTTTAAAGGGCAGTAAAGTAAGCAAAAAGCAATCCTAGTTTTAGTATAATGTCAGAATAAAACAAAATGCACAGATCTGTCCTGGAGTCTACTGTGTTCTAACTTGCTTTTTCTGCTCACAACACAAGGCTGTGGTTGGATAAATAGCAAGAAAATACATGATGTACTCTCTCTGCTCTGGGAAATTACAATCAGTTTTGTTCTTTCTGGGTGGTGTGAGAGACCACTAGGCCAGGTAGCTGCTACAAGTTTAAATTTAGACAAAACCAATATAATGGTCTCTTAATTTTTAATGGCAGTTAACCATAATTGGGTTCTTCAACTGAGCATCCACCTTTGCTCAGGTTTGAAATTACCTTGACCTTAACGTTCCTAGATTCCCAGAAAACATGTACCAAGAGGGTTTGTACCGCAGTAGTTCCCTGTAATGATGGCAGCATCATATTTCTTGCATAATTTAGAGGACTTCCCACTTAAGCATTCCATGAGAATAGATGATGATGTTAAAAAAGGTGCTGCATGCAAAAAGAAAAGTGAAGGAGAGAAAGGTAAGGAGAAGCCAATGCTTTTTGTGAACTGCTCCCAACTCACAGTGACTTGGCAGATGATGGTCTCTTCACATCTGGCCACTTTCGACGCTGAAACTGCCTAATTTTCAAGCAGCAAAAGGAGAAAAAAGTTAACCATCACCAAGAAAACCACCAGCACTACAGTCTGAAAGATGAGGAAGGAGAAGAGTTGGGCCTGAATTTTGACTACAAAGATTAGAACATGCTGTGACACTGAAACAGAAATAGCTGCAGTGTTTCCAAGTAACTGGCGTGGAAAGATCTTGCAATGCCATTCCAGGCAGTGTCTGTCCATGTGGTTCCCAATCCCACACTAACTCTAGCATGAAGGTAATACTTGAAAATAATAATTTAACTTAAAAAAAAAAATAATAAATAAATATGTACCTGTACTGCTCGTAGCTCCCATCTTTAAGTCCTAGATGAATTAAAAATAACAGTGTTATTAAGGAACCATCGCCTGCAATGCAGTAAGGCATCAGGTAAGGCACAACTTAAAAAAAGACCCAAGAATATTAACAGATTAGCATGTCTTGCCATGATAAATATTTCCATATGTGGTAACTCTTATATTTGTATTTAATCCCTTGTTCTAGGTAAAATAGGTTGTAAATTGTGATAGATATCTTCTAAACTTTTCTGTAAATATCCTTCAGTGGTGTACTGAAATGCCAAAACCTGCTGATTTTGAAATGTACAGCTCCATGTGGTGCAGGTACTAAATAAGACCTGAAATAATATTTTGGGCTTTGGTGGACTCAGATAACTGTTTTGGGAGTGGAGGTCTTCAAGCTCTAAAGGCTACGATTTTATTAAAACAGCATTTCTTATGTCAACTTAATTGTTCTAAGGGGTATAAGAAATGCAGTTTAAAAAGGAGAAATACAGTAACTGTACCTTCTGGTTTGCTATCATCATTAAACATGGAAAAAAAGAATCACAAGCAGTATAAAAAAACAGATCCAGAAAGAATTTAAGGAATAGGAAAGGGCAAAAAACTAACCTAGAACAAGAGTAAAGGCCAATTTTGGTTTTGGAAGTGAAATCCATTGTTACAAGAGCACATCTCTTGGTAGCACGATGCCATCCTTCTGAGATGTGCTGCTATTTTAAAGTCTAAGAACTGGGAAGTGGCTATTAGGGTATTCTTTCCCTCTCTTAATCAGTTTTGTTCCTTCCTCATCTCCTTCCCCTGCATCTCAGCACTACTCCTCACAATACTAGTTAAGTACCATTCTTCATTTAAGGAATATTACATAACAAATTGAACAAATACAAAAATTTGAGCATGCAGCCATCAACCTCAGCAGGACATCACCAGTATAAACAAATAGTAAAATCCTTTTGACTGATACAAGTTTCATAATGGGAAGTAAGAGCCCCATCTCCTTTGGGGAGTTCTTGAATGTAAGAGAAGCACTTACCCAGATCCATGTTCCTGGTTCTTGGATTGCACTGTTTATACCCTTTGCAGCTTCTCAGTTCCATGAGCTGGACGTGCAGTTGATTGAGAACGTCTCTATCTAGCGTATTCACTGCATTAATTAGCTGCAATAAACAGAGGTTCTTTGTTAGTAACTATTTGCTCTGTAGTTTGGCAACTTTCACTGTGGAATGCAGGTGATTTATTTGCAACAGGAAAAGAAGCCAAATCGTACTATGGTCAGTGATTTAGGCCTTACTTACATCCTGCACCAATATTGTGCTATTTCACTTTATCATCAGTAAGGGACAGGGATGTATTTCTAGAGCTGTTCTGTGATCAGGTACCTGATACGGATCCGTATTGAGATCAAAATACTCCAAAAATCCAGTAGCAAATTCACAAAACAGGAAGTTGTGGGTCTCATTGATTGTCCTCAGACACCAGTATGTGTTGTTGTTGGCACTGGTACAGGCACAGAAAGGGCCCACTGGAAATACAAGAGTTACAGACATAAGCTGCTGTCTTTAGGCACTGTTACTATGTTTTGGTTCTGGTGTTACTTTATTCATAGACAGTTACTCTCTCACTCCTGAGCTCTAAAGCAGCCGACACCTTCCAGCATCCACTTCTTGTTCTGTGCCTACCCAACCCACATGGCATGGCTGATTTCAGGAACATCTTGGCTAGCTGCTTTCCCTGTCTTCTCTGCTTGGGAAACATCCCAGATGGTGAGTTACTACACACAGTTGTACTCTACACAGTATCTGTAGGTTTTTATTTGCAACTGTTTTTGTTTTTAACTCCCTGGCCTTCTGTGCAAGGATAGTGCCAACACATAACAGAGATTATTTAGTATGAGGAAAGCTACATGTCTTTGGCTACAAAACTAATGGTATTGGTCACTTCTAGTAGCCCAGCAGCCCAGCCCAGCCTAGCCAGTACATGCCTACCTAGGACTTAGTTTAAAGTGTCCTTACGTGTCCACAGGGGAGCAGTTTGCCAGTGCTGGTTGTCATGGGTGAAGCAGGTCAGACCAGGCATGCTGCACGTGTCGTTATTTTTTATTCTCTTCAGCAGTTTGCGCAGTTTCTTCTTTCGTCTTTGCTCTCTCAGCAGCCACAGCCTGTCCTTCTCCTGTAGGGCTTTCCTGCACACATGAAACATTAGGGTCATGCAGACTCTGTTATACTTGAACACACCTAAAAAAAAATTAAGCAGCTAATAAAATAAGCTGCTTTGAGGGGAAAAAAAACCCACCTTTTTTTCAATTAAATGGCTTCTCTTCCAAATGTTTCTGAATATAAAACTCTGCAATTCTATGTCACTGGGGAGGGGGTGGGGGAAGCCAAAGGGGCTTATAGGCTTGCCTGAAGTCTGTGATGTGACATTTCCCAAACCAGCAACCTTATCTTGAATTTACAAGCATTTCAACATGGGCTTGGTTCCTTGCCCAGTTATCTGTTTATTCCTTTTAATACAGGATAAATGAAATACCAACTAAGCAAAAGAAGTTGTAACTGGTGCCATCAACCAAATGGTACCATCTTTGCATTTCCTGTGTCAAAGGAACAGACTTTCACTTACTTGAAAGGATGAAGACTAGATCCCTTGTGCCTCAGTTTGCTTTTGTGTTTTGAATGGTAACTGGAAAATAAAAACAGCATTGTTGATGAACAACAGAAAGACAATTGCTCCTGTTCATACCACACTTGGGTACTGGATTTGAAGCAGATTTAATTCAGGGTGACCTCTCCCTTCAGTTTATTCATTCAGGTGTGTGGTGAATACAAAGCAGCCTTGCTAGACTGGGTCAGGCGCTGCTGAGCCTTGTGCTGCTTTCTTTCCTTAGCTCATCTCTGCACAGGGACATCTGGTGCCCTCACACTGTATTGCAATGTGTACCCACAGATGATTCCAGCTACAATCTGCAATTTTAGGTGTCATTGATTCCTGTTTCTCTATACAGGGCAGATAAAATCAATATAATGTAAAATATAATTCAGTTACAACAGTTCTTCAACTGAATATGCACTAATTTGTTCAGCTGAAGACAACCAAACACCACCTTCCTGTCGTTTTCCTTCCGAATGAAAGAATTTAAATACCAGTTGCACTTCGTAGGGTTGGGGCTTTTTTTCCATTGTTACTTCCTAGAAGTTCCAGGAAAACTTTAACAAGCTGCATGGAACTGTCCCAGCAATAGCAGTGTCTAATATATCCCGAGATATGGAAGGTGTAAGCAGGCATACACATCTGAGCTGGGCGGTCCTACTGTTTTGTCTGTCTCCAGCCACTCTTACAGGATTCTGCAGAAATTTCCTTTCTGTGTAGTTTGCAAAGTTAAAAAAGACAAAACAGCCTTAGTGGATGGCAGTATTTTCTGACTGATGAAGTTCATTACACTACCTACACAAATCAGCAACGACAAACTAAGTTCAATAAATGTTATTTTCTAAACAGTACATCAGAATTCAGTTAGTTGTCAGACTAAAAATCCCTTCAAAACAAATCTTTTAGGTTAATAATGCTGTTGGGAGCTTTAATAGATTTAATCCTTATAGCAAATTAACAAAATAAGATTAGTACAGAACTATCTATCTTCAGTCAATTTTTTTATCATGCACAGACACTGGGTATTTCATTAACTGATCCTAAATCCCAATTCAATGCAATTCTGCAACCACTTAAACATATATAATTCAGATGATTAACTTCATTGATTTCAGTGGGATTATTCATCTTAATAATGCTATGCACAAATATAAGTGCTTCCTATACGGGGCTTGAAAAATGTAGCTTTCTTTACATTTACTATAAAACATTCATTATAAAAATAACTTCATCTTCACAGTATATGTTAAATAAACATCAGGTTTTAAAGCAGTAGCTTACAAGACAATATACACATTTTGGGGATTTGCCATTTACAATGATACTGATTTCATTCCAAATGCTTTTTGCCACAGGTTCCATGTATGGGTTGGCATAACCCAAGAAACTGATGTTCTCTGTATTTTAGTGATCTGTTGCAGAATCCATGTAGGTCACAAGGACTACCTACCTCACACAGGGCTGCACCTCCAAGGATTTAAGTGGTACACCCCAAAACTCATTCTGTTGCATCGATGAGACAGGGAAACGTCATCCAAACCTCCCACAGAGGTTACCTAGTTAAAGCTGCTTGTGCTTTTGCATGCATTCAAGTACAGCTGTTTTTGCAATACTTGTACTGCTACTGTGGCTGCTCTACTCTTGGTGACATCTGGCTCCCAGCAGCCTCAGAGATTGCTCTGTGACCACTATGATCTGGAGCAGCTGCTCCTGGATTCTTTCTGAACAGCTTTCTCAGGGGCAAATTCTGTTTGGGTCAACATTTGATTCTGAAAGATTTTCTGCTGTGCTTATTTGCAGAGCAAGAGCTTGCTTGCTCCCCAGAAGGATTCAGATGTGCTTGAACCTTCCTTCCATGCAACTGGTGGGCATTTTGCAAATATTTGGCTATATGAGAAACCAACTATGCAGAGACCTTAATGCATAATCACTATTTAGTATTGCCTGTTGCACTTAAAATTCACAGACTATCTGCACTAGAGAAGGACGATCTGGTGCACTAAGTCAGTGCTGGTTACAAAAATACAGTTACTCTGCATCAACTGTTAAATTGCTGCTTCTCCCACGTGGCAAAACTGCAAAACATTGCAGTAATTGCATCCTGTGAGATAATACATCCAGCCTTGAAGAAACCGAATGGGAAGAAATTCTCTCATCTCTCCCCCCATTAATCCATACACTTTACACTCTATTCTTTTAAAAACATGTTGGTGTAACACTGCACCATATTGACAATTTGCCCTTGTGGAAAGCAAGTTTTCAGAAAAAAAGCCTGTAGCTTAAAGTATTAATCTCTGGTATCTAATAGCAGCATTGCCAGTACAAGAGCATAACTAACCGGTTTATAAACCACATTACACGTCCTGTTACATCATCACCACTTGACACAGAGGCAGTAAAGCCTGGCAGAAGGTGGGCCTTGTACTTCTGCAGCAGTCAGCTGCCCCAGAAAGCATTATACGAGGAGCATAAGCAGGCAGCCACTTAACAAAACAGATTCTGATCTCTCCTGTGAAGGCAGAAATCAGCTACAGTTACATAAGAAATACCTTATCTTGTTACAGTCACACTCTTCAGGTCGCTTCTTCTTCAGATGACCTCTCACCTCCCTCAGGTTTTTTATTTTATTTTGCAAAGTTTCAATCTAAAAAAAAAAGCAAAGATACATGTTAAAAAATACAGCATGAGTTAGTCTAACCTTCTGAAACCCATTCTATTTTCACCAAATGCTTCCTCTTCACCTTCCATGACTCTCACCACTAACAAGCATTTTCAGACCTTTCCAACAGCAAACTACAGCAGGAGGAAACCTCGCTGGTGGTTTGCCTGCTTTGATTGCTGAATGTGAGAGCGGAATGTGGCACTGGGGGAATGGGAGGGCACACAGCTGCAGGTAGATAACTACTCCTGGTTCCACTGAGATTTTTCCTCTTGTGCTCTACAGCACATTTGTGAGGGAAGAAAGGTTACTGAAAGGAAAATGAAGCTGTTAAATTTCAGCCTGTTATGAACCTGAGAAGGGGATGGGGAGGGAGTGCTCTGAAGTTCCCTCTTCAGAGCTTCTGAAAAAGAAAAGCAGCAAAGCTCTGTCATTTTGCATGGCAGTCTTTGCAACGTCTGGCCACATGGAATATGGTTAGCAGTTAATTGTGCCACCCACATGGTTTATTTTTAACTGCCCTTTTTTTTTTTTTTTTCAGTAAATGAAACTCCTGCTTTTGTTCAGTCCAGCTCACACACAGTGAGCTCAGAGCACACATTTCCACTCAGATGGGTATGATGGGCTTCTACCTTGGTTCTTTACACAGCAGAAAAAACCAAAGTAATCCAGTGTGGACAACAAAGTCACTCTAAAACTACCATCAGACATCTAGGAGAAGCACACGGCTGCTGAAGCATAGACCAGAAGGAGTGTTCAGGAAAACTACACAACAAAAATCCAGCCCTGTGACCCTAAATCAGATACACAACAGGAGAGAAATGAGCTCTCATTTTGTCACTCCATATAGCCTACATATTCTGAAGAAAAAAGAATTAGAAGAGTATGGTGATAATAAATTACCCCTTTTTAATCCTAGCAGAGCTAGCAAGTTTTCAGTATCTGTCTGCCTTGCTACACATCAATCTGTACCATAAAAGTTCTTACACAGGACTCTGCTGTGGATTCCTGTAATTTGGTAAGAGATTACAGGAGGTCTTTTCTTTATGCCCCTCTTTGGCATTTGTTCCACCATTATCTGGCCCTTAGAACTCTGCCTCTTTCATACACAACACATGTGAAGGGTTTGAGCTTATAGTCTTCAATATTAGTGACAAAAATGTGTAAGTTTTATAGGCAAATTTCATAGGGCAAATTATCTCGCAGTTTCTTCAAGCTTAAGGAACATGAATTCAGTCCAAAAAGTGCAAGGGTTAAACACAAGCAAGCAAAAGAAACAATTCTAGAAGCACCAAAACTAATGAAGCTCACTTTTCCTTAGGCTTATGTTTGACAGCTGAAGGCCTCTTTTTGAGAGGTACACTGGGGAGCAGGGCTAATAAGATGTGAAAAAGATCCAGATGAAATTTTTCCCAGGATGGGGACGCTTACAAGTCTCTCATTCATCTCTTAGGGCTTTTGACATTTCTCAGCTGTCGCTTCAGTTGTGGTTCTCTCCACTCAGCATCTTGTCTTCAAAAACTTGTAATAACTTAATTATCTCTGAAATACCTATTCTGAAATCAGCCAGCAAGTTCAAAAGGTTCCAGGGAAGGACACAGATACCCAGAGGCAGACAGACACAGTCAGCATGATCCTATCAGCCCACAGAAAACCACACTAAAAACACACACTGGAAATGCGTGACTGATAACATCACTGACCTCGTGGTCAATATGAAGTTTATGGTCCTTCCAAGCTTGCAGTGACCTGTACAGATCTGTGTCACACTGGACGGTATCATTCTCCAGGATATAGCACCTTGGCATGGGAAAGCAAACAATGTTTGTTATAGTGGATACACACATGTACAGAGCAATGCAAACAGCTGGTTTTAATAACACAATTCCAGGACAGATGAGAAGCCAGATTGGGAATGACAAGCAGAGTTCAAAAAACTGATGTTCATTCAAGAGAAGAGTGTGCTATGAGCTGGGAAAGAAGTTTGGGTTTGAGTTGCCATGGAAATTTTTCAGAACTAGAAGAATTCAAGGAGAATATTCCTGTCAAGCAGAACCTGTTGCCTGTTAAATTTCTATATGTAAATTGTGCTGTGCAGAGTTCTTGCTTATTCATTAGGCTGTCTGCATAAATAATCTGCTAACCAGCAAGCACAGAAAGCATTGCTCAGAAGCAATTTCCCTATGCATAATTAAGTGACACCAGGGTATGGGCAAAGATAAAGTACTTTTTATAAGATGTATTACTAAACCATAAAGAAAAGGGGAAAAAAACAAAACAAAATAAATAAATTTTGCTGTTTTCTACAAAGGGATAAAAATTTTTCAAAGATATCTCCCTGACTTCAAAGGCAAAATAACCTCTGACAATTTAAAGTACTTATGTTTCACTAACTTCTAATGCAATCCAGATTTTAAAACTCTTTTAAAAACTAACAAACAAAACTTGCTTGACAGATTTACCTGAGAAGTTTATTAGGGGTTAACAAACACCATGTAGTTTTTTGAATGCTTGTTTAAATTAAAGCTGAGTATTTTCATACTCCTTAATTTTCTTTTAACCACGATGACATGCATGTTGTCCCATTGCATTCTTTTCTGCAAGTGTTCCTGGGGGCTCCTCATGAATTATGTGCAACCTTCCTGACAATTCCTTGTCTGGATTTGGGATTCACCCAATAAGGCAGCAAAAACCAATTTAACTTGTTCCAGAAGAAAAGCACAACAGTGATTTATGGGTCCTGAACATTCACCAGAGCTGGGCTCAGAGGGAGCAATTCTCTGATGCCAACCTAGCTGCGTTTCCTTGTATTAGCCAGTCTCTAACTCTGTAAACAGAAGTCAAATGGAAACCACAGATTTCAACAGCAGCTAACTGCCTCATGCATGTTTATATGAGCCAGTCATTAAACAATTTAATGAATGTAATCAATAATGATCGGTGGATTTCCTGATAATTCGCAAGCAGAAATGGTGACTAAACTAATTAAGTGTAGCTGAAGATACATCATCAGCCCCTAGACTTGCACACTGAGGAACAGACTTTTAGCTATTAGAGTGCCCAGACAATGTTCCATTTCCCAAAGCTCCTGATCCATCCAACTTCATCCATAATATAGATTTTCCTTTCCTAGCACTGGCTACAGAGAGCTCTGAGAGGCTGCTTCTTCCCTTAGGACTGATTTGATGTTTGAAATACAAAGCAACCAATGACATTAAGCAAAGTCACACTCCACTTAGAGCCTTTGGCCTTCAGACAGGCCAGGTCACCCGCCCCACACTGAGATTTCCATGGGTAGAGCTCTTCCTGGTTTCACATGGGCGTACACACAACTGTTGCACGCAGCTTTGCTTGTCCTCCCAGTGACTGCTGTCTCCAAAGCACAGAAGATACAAGAGCACTGCTGCAGTTCTGCAATAGCTTTATGGCCCTCGGTATGTGACAGAATTAAAACTAAACTGAAAGCTGTTGTACAGATGAGAATAGGAATTTTAGTGAAGCTAGACTGGGTATTCAAAAGGGACACGATATGCTTAGAACAAGTTAACACATCCATTTATGTCAAGCAGACACCTAAGCAGCAAAAGCTTTTAAAATACACCACGTGCACTCACCTGTGAGTCACTTTTACGAGGTTAGGGGCCGTGTACTCCACAATGCCACCAGTGCCACTGTATTCCCCCACATCTTTATCTTCCTCCTCATGAGGAATAGCCCTCTGTACCCTGTGCTGCTTGGTGATGTTTCTTGGTAAGACAGGTTGGTAGGCATCCTCTAAACCCAAGCTGTAAATGGCTCCATCCAGCTCAACAGATACCGAGCGGATGGAGCGATTCCGGACATAGCTTGGTTTGTATTCTGCATGGAAAAGGAAGGGAAAGGATTGAGAGGAGGAGAAACAGCATGTTACAATCTGGTCCTCTTTGTGGTTCTTGGGAGGGAAAAAACAGCTCATCCTGCGACATTTGGAATTAACTGGATGACAAATGGCGTTTGCTGCAGCTGTCCTCTGAGCTGCTGCTTCATTATCTTTGGCATGGATAGATGGACACCCGAGGGCATGAGAGAGAGGGGCAGATGTAATGCAAATGCACAAGGATGGCAGAGGGGAAAGAAAATGTACTTGTCCAATCTCACTTGAAAAGCAAACAGCTCATTTGAAGAGACTCTGCCCTTCCCCCCAAGAGGCACGAGGTGGCAGTAAGATCTTAAAAATGAACCATGACAGTAAGATCTTGGGTCATCCTTGCAGACTAGCTCTCTACTAATAGTTTTCTACCATCCACCATACAATGCTCCACTGCGACACTTCCTTTAAGATGTACCAAATATTCCCAGTGTTTATCTTGAGCCTTTTCTCAATTCTGTGCTCATTCTTTAAGGTAAAATAATTTTTATTTTTTTGGGGATTAATATCTGAATCTTTACTTTCATCCACATCTAATTATTTTCTTTGCAATGATTTTCCTGATGTGCAGACCAGTCAGTGCACACCCTCCAGTGCTATACACTCCCTCAGACTTTGCTTCTGTATTTGCAGCCCAAAGGCAAAATGAAACATCTGCTATGAATTGTCACTACATAGGACCAGATTCTCTTTGATCTTTTCACTGCTACTGCTTTCCAAAGTTCTCTGTCCCAGCCCAAAGCCCCAGAGCTCCTCTTACGTTTGGTCTGGAATGGCACAAACATATCCTAGTTATGGAGTCTAAATCTGTAGCTAAACTTCCCTACTGGATGATGGAGTCCATCTCTGACCATATTTCCTGCTCACTGCCAACGGCTGCTGAGAGTCACTCATTGCAGGAAGCATAATCATCTCACTCCTTGAGAAAAAAGTACCACCTCAGTCCTATAGCTTCTCTTCTGCCCACTCATTTGCTCTGTATATGAGGCTTGGAGTCATCTAAGACATAACTGGAAACAATCAAGTCCCTTGGCTCCTCGGGTCACTTCTTTACACAGAGCAGAAACACACAGCACATCTTAAGAATATCTTTCTTCCACCATCTGATAAGTGGAAACTCAACTGTGTGCCAAACTCAACTCAATGTGCCAAATGAGAAGACTGATCTTTCTTGCCATCCCAAACTCCACAGAAAAAACAACTTTCTTTATGGCATAATCTCCATTGCGAAACAAGCAGGGAAAAAAAAGGAATGGAAGGTAGAACAACCAAAATTGACCAATATTCATGTCAACTGGCATGCTTTGGCATTAATACAGAATGACTTTTTTCAAGAAGCTTTACATTAATTCCAAACAGATCACAAAGCCCCAAAAGCCATTTTGTAGACTGTGGGAAGAGAAATAAACATCTCCTCCCACCTGAAACTGGTCCAAGCACTATATTCTTGTCAGTGCCACACATAGAAAGTAGAATACCAGCTGGATGGTCTGGCTTTGCACATTTTCCACCTGTGGTTCAAAGTTTATTGCTCATATTAAGCCAGGTGAGTCACTGCTGAAGGGAAAAAAAAACCCAAAAGACCAACCCTATTTCAGGCACCCATTCAGGAAATGTTTGACTAAATGAGAAGGAAACACCCATCTTTTCAGAAGTAGGAGGAAGTTCCAAAAAGCTACACCCTAACAATTATATTAAAAGTATAAACTCCCATTTCTTTAATTGTTCCCTCATTTCATCTTGTTAAGTTCAGCCAACTAACAATTTACCTTCCTTCCAAGTCTAATAGGCCAATCCTGTGTGTTGGATCTCAGCAGATAGCTGCAGGGAACTGTTGTCTACACATGTCCCTGAAGAATTAGAAGCCAGGAGTTACCTGGCCCTTGCAGCCAAACTAACCCAGCCTTACAACAAACAAATTGGTCTGCAGTGAGACAGCTCATACAGGACTTCGTGTCTTGCTTTATTGCAACATGCTATCCACAGTGCTGACTCAGCGCTGTGATTAGGACCAAACTCCATTATTTTCAGAGGGAGTGGTTAAAATATTTAATAGGATCAATAGTCATCCGTGCTGTGCTCTCCCACCTGCAAAGTGCACTGCAGGCATAAATACCAACATCTAATTACTTATTAGTTGATCCTCCTCCAGGTTTAAGTTTTAGTCTCCAATTCATTTGCCTGTGTACACAACCCACAAACAAAAGTAGATCTAGGGCTGTTAAATATTCAGCCCCAAACACCTATACTCCCTTTATCAAGGCATTAAAATTTGGCTTTGGTAAGTTCTATGAGTCCTGAGGCATCTCTTCCTCTGGTCTTACAGAAGCCAGCTGTCTTAGAGATGCAACTGCTGAAAAGCTGCATCCTCAGAACTGAGTCTGAAAATGGAGTCCAGAGGAATCTAAGCCCAAGACATCTAACCGCATTTCAGTGCCCTACTCATCCAGCTGTGTCTTCCTGGACCACTTGACAAGCATGTTTGTCTTCATTGGAGCCTGAAAGGAAGTACGCTGTTCTGGTCCAGATTTCCCCAGACAACCTAGAGACTCAAACACGCCTGATTTGTTACTATTTTTTGGTTTCACAGTCTAGTGAAAGCACAAACTGCAGTATCCAAAATTATTATTCAACTGAATAAAGCGAAGCACTGATAAAACCATAAACTTCCTATCTGATATAAACATGTCCAGCCTTTGGGTTCATATTTAACTCTTGTCACATCCTCATCATTCAAGCCTTATTACTTATTTTGCAGCTGCCAAATTAATGATTTAACAGTGAGCTCATTTGGAAATGATTCCTTCTCTTGGGGATAACTGAGAAGATTGTAACCAACTACAACTACTGGATGGCAATTTCCCCAAAGCTGCTCATTGGGAACACTGCAGAAGACAGAGAACTCTTGGTCTTCCCTGTTGACACTTACTCTACACAGGTATTTTCAATCTGATGTATTTTCCAGCATCACAATGACAACAGAGTAAGGCAGTATGCAAGGGCTCTGCTTCTACACGTGCCACAAGGAAAACATCCACCACTACCCTCATGAATTCCTGCTTGATGTTTCCCAGTAATGTCTATGTATTTTCCAGAATTTTGCAGAGAAGAAGCATCTTTTTTCTATGACACCAAAAGAAAATTAGGTACTTTGAAGTAAAATTCTTGAAAATACCTCAGGTGTCTAGAAACACAGATAAAGGTTTAGAGGTGTTTTTTCTTGGGCATTAGTTACCTAGGGATTTCTAGAAATCTTATTTTGAATCCATGTCCTTAGATATTTCAAAGAGGAAAAAAAACAATCCAAAAACCTTTTTAACATCCAGTTTATCACAACTACCATTAAAAATTATACTTCAAATGCATTATCTTTAAAGCAGCTGATGTTCAGTTTTGAGGTTTTGGGTTTTTTTAATAACAAAGAAGGTCATTTTGCTCCAGCATCGAGACTACCTCAAAAGAAAAATGAATGACATAAAAATTGGAATAAAAATGCACTAGCCCCTTTGTACACACTTCTGTTTGTTGTTTACAAATCTGTGTGGCCCATCGTAATTTCTCTACATGCAGCTTAATGACTCCTTTAATCACATGCACTTGTTCATCACAGTAGGAGGAGATCAAATCCACAGCCAGAAAAACATAATAGACCACAACACAGACAAAGATTTTAAGAGCTCAATATTACTTTAAACTTTTTCCTACTGCAAAGCTTTGTTTCATCTTTCTTATAAAAATAAAACCATACTAAAGAAAATAAAGAGGACACAGAAATACAAACATTCCTGGCACCCAAACCCAGATGTACCCAGTATTAATGCTTATGTGTTTCTAGCATGTAAAAGCTTTGCAGGCAGGTTGTGTATTTGTACATGACCCAAACGGCATGAGCACGACATGACACTGTTTTGCGACTGAATTTACTCAATTTAGAAAACGCTGCTGCCTGCTAAACGCACTGGTGCACCTGACATTGGGTCTAGACAATGCCTACATTAGAAAGTAATTATTTAATAAAAACATTTGGTGTTCCAGCCCCTCTATCTGCAATTTAGTCTGGTCTTTTAGACCACATGTTCTCACTACACATGACTGGTTTTCATCTTTCTGAAATACTAATCCTCATACCCTCATCAAGGTTTGCAACACACCTGATGCACCCTAGAAGCAGGGCATCCAATTTACTTTTCTACAAATGGCTATAGATTAGAATCCACCCAAATTGCTCTGCAAATCCATCTCTATTGTGCATCATAGAAGGGAGTGATCAGGGTGTTTCCTTCCAAACTACACTACTGCTGTGAGCTAGAGCATTAATGTGGACGTGACCCTAGCCCAGTTTGAAACTTCTGTTTTCTATTTAGCTATTGTTCAATGTGATGAATAGCATCTACTGACATTCAAGTAGGGCTGCAGTATGATCAGCAGACCCCAAAGGTGCCCTCAGAACTATGCTACCCAGCACAGACTGCATTTTATCCCAAGTCTCATGAAACAGGTCATAAAAATCCAAATACACATCATCAGTATTCAGGTCCCCCTCTTACTGTTCACAATCCAGTGATCCAGCTTTCTGGGCAAGCTGTTTAGAAAAACACTGGTATGTTACTTTGACTTGTATTGCTTTGTGCTTGCTTGCATCCAGTGTGTGATTTATTAGATAAGTGCACACAAAAGAATAGCCAACACCAAATCAAAGAGTCTATATCAATAGGTCCAAGCTAATCTCTTCCACTGTATGGCACACCCTGGATGTGGGCAGAGAGGAAAAACAAAGCATCTGTGGAGTCTGTTTATTTACTCAGGACACGAGCAATGGGAACACGATTGTTGAGGTCCTATCTTATGCTGCTAAAGTTTACGCCTTATGGTTCCATGAGGCAAGTGAGCTGAAGGGTACAGTGTAAACTTTGCCTCTTCTGAGCAGAACATGGGAAAAAACCCACAATTCTCATCCCTCTGCTAGAGGAAGCAACCTTCTCTTTGTTTACCTCAACCTCCTTCATAAATAAACTAAAGGTAATTATACACTTAACCACCTCCTCTGGATGTTGTGAAAATTAGTTAATGTTTAAGAAGCTTGACACAGATGAAAAGTACTTAAGTAAGTGTTAACTATTATCAGATAGCATTATGTCACCCTCACTTAAATTGTTTTCCTCTTCTTATTTAAGTGCCTTCGATCTAGTGTTATTTGACTCCCCATGACTGAACTTTCTTCTGTGTGACTTAAAAAAAAAGTTAATTGAACTGCAAGTTCTGGTATTATTTAAAGATTATCTGCTGTGCCACATATTTAGATAGCAAGTATAGTTGGGTAATTTCATCCCGGAACCAGTAATTTTTTTCAACTAAAAATTAGCTTAGTAGGTACTAATCAGCTTGCAAGGCAAATATAATAGGAGAAAATCAATTTAAACTCTCTGTTTGAAGCTTGTGCCAGGTCATTATACAGAAAGACTAATCTGCTAAATAATTAAGGTTCTGTATTTGTGGAGTGAGACGAAAGAAACATTACAAGTGAATAATAATTCTGTGCTGCCGTTTGCCTCTTTAATCTATAATTAGACTAGGTAGTTCAAATATAGATGTTAGTCTGACTAAGGTTTAATACAGGGCCAGTGGAATGGGCCTTCTGAAAACGCACGTGATCTGTGCCAAGGAAACTAGAAACAGTCATCCCCTTTGGACGTGATCTCTGCTTGAAAGTCAGCCTCGTCTCTGCTGACTGAGCACAGGGAACGGATATTAGAAGCAAGTAGCTTCTGTAACAAAGCACACGCATCCTTATTAAAAATAAATTACTGCAGTAACAGCTCCAAGCATTGCAGTACCTACTGAAAACTGGAGTATTTGCTGTAAAACACTGTTCCTGTTTCATGGCCTATGTAAGGATGTGCTGCTCGTCATTTCAGTGTCTGCATTTCCCAGTTTTGAAAGACATAAATAGAAGACCCTATTTTGGACCAAAACACTCCTCTTCCTACAGAGACACTGTTTACAAGTTAGATACACAGTAAATATGCTGACAGAATTCAATGCCCATGAAAACCGGGACAATTATGTGTGTTAGCAAACAAACTGCAGTTTTCTAAGGCAGAGACAGAAGATACAGTGGGTTCACTTACTTTTCTTGGAGAAGAGTTTCTTTCTCCTTCCGATATGGCTCAGCTTGTACTCGTTCTCTTCACAATTGCAGTCTTCACTATTCCTGTTGTAATACTTGGGCAAAATATTGGAGGTGCCTTTGCTGTTCCCTGCAGCTGACAAGTTTGCCATTCCCTTGCACTTGTGTAGCTTGAGCTTTCCACTGGCATCTTCCACACACTGCCATTTCTGGAAGAAAAATTTGGTCATTAAAACTCTGTCCCAACTGTGCTTTGTCTAATGGTCAGCTCCAGTGATCTATCAGAAGCACGACTGTAGTAAGCTAGGGCTCATCTATCACCCACTACCAAAACATATTTTTTTTTTTTGTAACCTCCCATTTTCAGACAAAAAAAGGAATTCTTTGGAATACTCTTGCATTTGTTTCTTGGAGGCAGAACAATGGAAAGTTATCAAAATCAATACTACAGCTAAAAACATGGAGGTGACAAGTGACAACTTCCAGAACCATAACTATGGCATAAACCAAGGACAATCCAGTCTTATTCGCAGATTTGAAAAGAATTCTTGCCTACCAGCAAGTGTGTTTGTCAGGCTGGCAGGAATCTATGGTGAGATGGTTTCATCCAAGTTGTGGATTCCCTTCTTGTAAAGATCTAGTCTGAGCTGGTTATCTAGACCGTTTGACAGTCAAAAACCAGGAACAGTCACTTCCAGGGTATAATTCACTTCATCCTCAAGTGGCCGTATAAAAGAGATAAGAAAAAGGATTGCCCTGCAGAAGCACTTATTTCTCTTCACTGACTTTTAAAAGCGTGAGTATAACTGGATCAGCTATGTAAGTCTGTAGTTAAGACGAGTTTATCTCCATCTTGAGTGTTTCTAATAGCTTTTCCCATTCAACACCCCTGGGCTTGACTAGCAATGGTGAGCTGCACTGGATGCCTGGGAAGTGTGAATTCCCTCCCTCTTCCACTCAAACTAGAGAAAATCTCATCTCTCATCTCCAAATCCTTTTGTTACTGAAAACCTGAAGTAACTTGCTTACAGCTGCCTTTGTGCTGCTGTCAGAGCTGTGCCAAGGGCAAGGGAGTTTAGCCACCTTCAACCTGGCACAGAAGTTTTACCCACTTCCAGGATACATCACAAAACGATCTCACCTACTCCTTTATTTACCAACACATGACTAGCTACAGAGTTCAGCTTTGAGATACATTAAAAACCCTCACAGTAGCAGTTGCTACTGCTTTAAATAGAAGCTCTCGGAAACACTTCAGCTTTCTGCTGAGTCTTGAGAGGCGTTCCTCTTTTTCCCCTATTACAAAATCCTACGTCTGTGCCTCCAGGACTCACTGGAATATTGAGAATTTTCCAAATACAAGAACAGAAGGAGAAACAGCAACAGTTCCCAAGTGAGATGATATTTTACAGCAGCCTGCAGCTCTACGAGAGAGATTCAGTCACTTCAGTTCCCACAGAAAGGTGTGCCCAGGCTAGGACAATAAAGCCTACACTTGCCACTGAAATTCCCTCCGTTGTTTGCATGACAGCAAACTAAGAAAACAGTATTGCTGTGCTTTTTATTATAAAGAATTTAACAGGAGTTGGAAGCGAACTGGCCAGTTACAGTGGATTTATCTATGTCCACAGGAGTTCCTCTCATTTAAAACTATCAGATTTTTACGGTGTGTCCACTTATTTCCTCAGAGAATTGGATGCCAAGTCTCCTGAGCTATGGTTACTTCTTCGGCGCAGATACTGTGTCCAAGCTCCTGTACAATCAAAGCCTCGCACTGACGTGGATGAACCTGGCTTAACTTTTAGCACAAAGAATCATAGCAAATCAGCGAGAGATACTGACAATAAGACATCTGAATCAGACATCTTTGTGTCACTGTCTTCATCTGTAAAGCAGGACACATTTACCTATATGGGGTATAGAACAAAAACAACCTTTGAAGAACAAACTGCTGAGTCTTAATTTTATTAGTATTTCTCATAAATGCCTAGCACTGATTGATGCACAGACTGAGGTTTGAAGTAAAAGTTATTTTATTAGAATAAGCAATGGTTTCTTTCACATGAGAAAAAGATATAAAAATGTTTGTTGCTGTTTCCCATTTCAATTAATCTGAACCTTATTTTTGAAAACACATGAACAAGCTGCATTTTCTGCTCAGTAGAGCACTATGCTGTAGGTATCTGATACATGCAAAATTAAGATGCAACAGAAGGCAAGTTAAATGCCATGATGAGAACTACTGTAAATAAGTCCTCTGATGTGTGGCCCAAAAATATTTTTTTACTCTATTTCTTTCATCTCCTGTCAAGAAAGTGATGCTCATTTTCCCCTCCAGGTGAACTGGAAAAAATCCTCTATTTTTTGTTGCAGTTTAAATCTTTCCAAGGCAGCTGTATGCTGCAGTGAAAACTTCTTAAAGGCTTTGCTGCAAGGGCACATTGTATCCATTAACAGGCCCACTGCCGAAGGACTGCAGTGCAGAACTACAGAAATAACTTTAGAAGCAAATATTGAACACACTGGGGAGGAAGGAAAAAAAACCCAAAACAAAACAGAAAAAGAAAAGTCTCTTACTTTTTTCCCCAAAACAGATATGGGCATGTATGTGAATGTGTCTGGGATTCAGCAACTTACCCTTAGTCTGCTTGTGTACAAACACAAATTCATTCTCTAGGTCAATATCACAGCTGTATCAATTGCAGTCATTTCCACAGGATGCTTTCAAACGTAGGGAAAAAGGGCAGTAATTGCCAGGGAATTGTGAAAACCTCTGCTTGACAGTCAAGAAGTTTAAACATTGTGAATTTTGGCATTTTGAATTAGTTTCTAGTGCACAGCATACCATCATGCAGAAACCTGTGTCAACCCTGGAAGCAACTAAAATATCTTCTAAGAGGTAATCACTTAAATAATTAACTCTATATGAAGAACTCCAGAGTGCCCCAGAGATACTTTGGCTCACAGGTACAAATGATAACCATCCGGCAGCAAAACATAATTACACGTGAATAGTGGATTAACTCAACCAGTCAAGAAAACAAAGAACCCTTAGTTCACCACTTGCCCCTAACTTTTCAGGTCTTTTCTTCATTAGACCAAAAGATGTGTTCATAATTCAAGTTCTATAGCTTGTAATATCTCACAAGAGTCAAGTCCTGGAAGGGAGGGCAGTTTAACACAAACTAAAAGTCTGTGGAAAACCCAGACTCCCACACAATCTTATCTCAGCTCATATCAAAACTCCAAAGGAAGAATCTGTCTTTCCTCTTGTAAAGCCATGCAGAACAGCTACTCAAGCCATCAAACAAATGGCTTTTGCAATATGTCCCAAAGTCCATCAGGCTCACGTTGTGCAAAACTTTCCAGACACCTCATTTAATCATTAAAGCTGTTCCAGCTGGAGATTTCCCACCATCTTCAGGCAAGGCCAAGTTAGCTGCTGTGCTTGTGCTTTCTGCCACCTACTGTGCTGGGCTTGTTCTAACACTTCTACTCCATCCTCTACCCTACCTCCCACTGCACAACACATGCTACTCAGTTATTTGTTTGCAAAGCAGAAGAGTCTGGGCTTTAGTTTAATGGAGAAATTAGTGCTACTGTTTGCACTGCAAAGGTGAAAAGAAGAGTTTGTAACATATATTCTCCCCTCCAGCCCAAACTACTTGCTGTATGTATCAACAAGAGTAAATCAGGACTTCAGTATCTTATGAAACATGAATCTTAACAGCAGCAGTTGTACACTGAACAGATGCCCTGTTTCCCTCCCATAACACCATTCACCTTGAACATGCAAATGACCCCTTTGCAGAAAAAGGCACATATTTTTCTGTGTGTCAAAACCCCACTATTTCCTTCATAGTTTCCATCACCATGAAGTGGTTTTTGCATTACTGTGCATCAATGTCTTCTTAACGCTACTGCAATCACAGATGTTAATTCAAAGTCATTACTTGAGGCCCCAATCAGAAATAAATAGCCATGACCTTCCCTGTAGGATTTTTTCCTACAATTCACTCATTTCCCTCAGTGCATCTCTCTCAATTGACATTGTTTTCTTTGGGGGAAATGGGCTGATCACACAAGCCTGGCTAAGAAAAGATTCCAGTTGAAACATACAGCTTTCAGAGCTGAGCCCTAAATCATCATGCTGTGTCTCATCAGCTCCTCTTTTTGTTAAGCGAAAGAGATTCCATTCCCTTTTACAGGGAAGTGAATAGTGAAACTATCTGATCAGTTAGCTGCCAGCAAGGCTCCCTCCCTAACAGTTTTAGGAATATAGGCTCTAGGAATCAAAGTTTCTGCAGGATAATAAAGTCCTCTGTCCCTGCCAACAACCTGACAAAAACATTTCAGCAATAACCATCTTCTTTAGTATGAGGATGATTTCTGAACCCCATTCTTGCTGCCACATTGGATGGTGAGCTAGAGACAAACTGCTTTAATGCCTAGAAATATTCTAACTTCCAGTCTAAATTAATTTATGGGTAGTCAGGCCACATTTTTTATCTTGTATGAAACAATACAGTTACAGTTTACTTAGTAGTAAACAGCTGAAGTTACAGTTTAGTTAGCTCTTATCTTTTGCTTTGGTTTCCTCCTTGTGTTATTTTTTATTTGGCTAATGAGGACAAAACAGCAAAATCCAGAGAGGGATGCAAACCCCTTCTCTACACGAGGTATTTCTACTGCTGTTGCTGGCAGCTCATCCTACTGCTCAGCTGTTACAGGTTTCAGGAAAGAGTCAACCTGAATTTCCCACTGTTTGTCTCATGCACATTACTACCTCTCTGTTCTTGTTGACAGAAAATAATTGGCTCGTGTCCTCTGTACAGCATCTCTTGATTCATGCAGACAGATTCCTCCCTCCTCAGCTATTTTTTTACTGACTATGCTCAGTTTCTTAACTCTTCCCAACAGGCATTATGTTCTTAATCTTTTAACATTTTTGTTGAGGTTTTTTTTCCCTTCTCTGTACCTTCTTCCAATTTTATCCATTGGCAAAGAATAAGTCTAATTTCCTCTATTTCATGTCATCAGTATATAAATAGCACTGCTTGGTCTTCATTCCAACTGGACATTATTTCATTACACTGGCTCACGATTTTTGGAGATTCAGACCTCTGGGCTCTCAGCTCAGTTTCAGTTGTCACACACTACATATCACTCAAACCTTAAAGTATAAGATGGATGAACAATTTATTGACAGACAATTTGGAGGGCTTTTAAATGCCCCAAACTGTAGCTGAAGTGAGGCAGATGGGACAATCAACCAGCACACCAATGAAACATCAGGTATTCAGCTAAATTTAAGATTACAATTATATAATTCATTTATTATTAATATAGTAATTGGATTGTGGTATCAAATGGTCCCAGCTGCTGTGTTAGGTACTGCAGAAGCTAAGGAGTGAGTGCAGCCTAAGCAGAAATTACATTAGTGGTGGAGGAATAAAACAGCAGCACCAAAAGGGGAATTGATTTCTCTGAGGTCCCACATCGAGCCTGTAACAGTTCTGAGGCTGAAGTCAGTCTCCTGACCTCCAGCTCATTGTCTTTTGAACTAAACAACACTGCTACTCATGTCAAGATATTTGAAAAATTTGGTGTTTTTATTAAATGTTGGTATTGATTTTGGCAAGCTACTTGCAACCTCCACTACTGCAATGACAAGAAGTTTAAAAATCTCAGTTAACAAGAGATGGAAATTTCTTGGTTTTGTGAAGTAACAGCAGCAAAAAACCCCATAAGTAAAATAGCCTCTAGAAATCATTACAAGCTATTTCTGGCTAAAGGAGGAGAACAGTTTTGTTAATTATAATTCCTGATAAGGAATACAATCCTTAAATAACAGCCCTTAATAAATCATGATGATTTTAATTATCATAGTTTGCTGTCTCCTCATGTTATCAGGTTGAGGGCTGATAAAATTTTTAATGTATGAAGTTATCAACAAGTCATTTCTTGTTGCAATCACAGATTAAGAACCAGATCCTGAAAGTTGCTGAGCATGTGCAACTCACACTAGAATTCAGGAACTCCAAAGATCTACCTAAAGAGCTATTAAAATTATCTGGATTCTAGCTTCACTTAACAGCAGAACCTAAATTCTTTAGTAACCTCAAGATATCTCTGCTGGGTACAAAAGAACTGGACAACCACAAAAGATACACAGATCAAAAACCTTCTTCCCAGTTTTTAAAGAAATTCCTTATAGAACCTGACTTAGTTTCCTAGGTCTGGCTAACCTAAGTTCAAGCTACAGTGCCTTCAGCAAAAGGAGAAAAAGTAAGTAATTTTTTTCTGCTGTTCCACCTTTGGCACTAGGCAATGGCTAACAATGATTATGGTGGCAGGAATATCATCCAGAGGTACCACTCAGGAACTGCTGTAGGAAAGCACACAGTGATCAGAATAGTTTTCATCACTGCTATGCCATGTCATGGCAGAGAACTGGGGGGACCAACTGAGTGACATACTTTTACTTATGGTATTTTCATGCCAGTTACAAAAAAAGACTATCCCTTCATGATCCTGGTACAGCACAAAGCAGTCAAAGGGAAGACTGTGTATTAAACCTTTCATTTGCAGGACATCTGAAGGAAACAAAATGCAAATTTTTGCATTTTGAATGTTCTCCTGGTGAAAAAAAAACCCCTGTCATATAAACTAATACTTCCTAGTGCTATTTAAAGTCAAATACTAATTGTATCAGATATGCACATAAACAGAGCTTTGAAAATAAACAGGATTTGAAAAGGCAATAATGTGAATTCAGATAACTATTTTTTTCTCCATAAGTTAGTAAAATTATTGTACTATGCCAGGTCCTGCTAAAGACAAATTTTATATATATATATAATTTTTTTTAACATGTACAGCATAGATTCCCTATAGCAATCAGCAGTGCTGCAGGTATTTCATGTTTAAAAAATGTACACAAAGTTGGCAAATTAGTTAGAGGGAGATTTTGTGCAGCTGTTGTTATGATACTGTGGAGTTGCTGGGAATACTCTACAGAGCAATGCTGATATCATAATTGGCTTCCACAAAAGCACATTAATGCAGGCCGCCAGATAAAAGTGGGTCAGCTTCCACTTACCAGCCAGTTTAGAATGAAAGGCTGAACTACACTGAAGAGAAAAAAATCTGTGTGGAAGCCATTAGGTACTAGGATAAATGTTTTTTATTTCATGTGGGAAGAAAGAGCTCATCTTTTTTAAATCCTCGAATATAAATGCTGAGCTGCTCTTTCATCTGAGCCTACAGTCACCCTTTGTTGGATGCAAATAACTAACACAGACCAAACCCTACTAACTGAAAAAGAAAACATGGCAACACACAGATTCCCATTGCGCTCAGAAGAATTTACATATATTAGTGTGGCCAAAAAAGTCCCACATAATGGACTCTGAAACAAGGTTTTAAGCAGTGTGAATAGCCTCATCTCCATGATCCTGGTGCTCTCTTATCAAAACGATTATAGGTCAAGGAGGGTGACAGAGATTTGCAAAGGAAGAGCATTTTGTGGTGATAGAACTGTATTCACAAACTTGCATGCTCACAAAGCAGAATTTCAAATTCTCCATCTCACATTCAAAGCTTTCTTTACCTCTCCTTTACTCTAAGCTCTGTCCTTGTCTCTTCTCATTCACTCCCTTTCTGAGTCTTTGTGCTCCATTTGTGCTCCTTGTCTCCTGCTCACATTTCAGATTCCCTGGTACTGCTCAGCCTTCTCTGTGCATGGAACAGCAGGTCCCAAAAACTTGTTTGAGTCAAAAGAAAGACTCTCAATGACTTTAGCAAACTTTCACCTAATTCTTATACAGACTTCTCTTCATCTTGCATCAGGATGTGAAAACTCACCTTTTACACTGAACATTCCAGATACTGTTAAATGCACAATAATAAAGTGTCCTGCAGGATCAGGAGACATCTGCTAAATAACCACTGTATCTGTATACCATAAACTCCCCCAAGGCAGTGGTATGTTATTCATTTGGGCTCATTCTACTTACTATGCAGAGCTGTGAACAGCACCAGCAAACAGACAACATTTATCATTTTAGAAGTTAGTCTTGCTTTACTCTGAAAAGACTTTTGGGTGCACCCATATTTAGACACAATTTATCCTCAAAAACACACATTCATCTCCCATTGCTGTCTAGACAGACTACTAGGACATATTCTCTAGAGCAGGGGTTAGATGGATTGGGACTCCCTTGAGAGCCCTTCCCAGACTCTAATTGACTTGATTGTTAGGCAATTTTTCCTGATGTCCAACTTAAATTTCGTTTTTTGCTCAATTTCATCCTATCACTTCCAATTACGTCTGACTGAACAGCTCAAAACAATTCCTCTCCTCTCTGTCTCCTGACAATGAGGATGCAGCATATGCATCTCTTATTAGCACACCTTCACTTCAGAATTTATTGGCAATTCTGAGTACAGAGTTGACATTTTATGCCCACTTCTTACAGATGTCAAAGATATTTTATTATCCATGGAAGAAAACATAAGCCTGTGAATGTGTGTAGACAATACAGGGCCTTTCCTCTCTCTTCCATAACTGAGACAAGTGGTAATTAGAGTAAGAAAGCCTGAATGTAGCTAAGTTACCTTATGCAAAGAGACAGCTTCAGTGACAACACGGACTTGGAAAGTCTCTTTTCCCCTCTGTACTTACAATAATGTTCAAAATAATTGGGAAGACGAAGACAAAAGGAAGAAGTTGAAACATCTCTCAAAGGGAAAATACTGATGGAAAAAGAAAAGCTCAATTTCCCCAAACTACTTACCAGATTATGTTGTAGCAGAAACAATGACTTTTCACACAGTTTCTCAAAGAACACTGCAAATTCGAAAAACAATGGCTTGCTCCCACCCATCAATTTCAGCTCAAGACATCTGATGACAATAAACTACTGCAGTTCAATATCTTTAGGAAGAACAGGGCATTATAATCCCTCTGTATACTATATCTGACAAAGAAGCCACAGGAGGAAAAGAACATCTGGAAAATGCTTATACATATAAATTGGACCCAAACACCTAAGAAGCAATGGACTCATTTCACAGGTGCACCGAACCTGTGATCAGTAGAGCCAGAAGCAGGGAGTCTGGCCTCCGACAGCAGGAAACTAATTACTGCAGCCTAAGTCGTCCATTACTGACTATATCCTTGGTAGGACATTCAGATCATGTCTGCCAGTTATACTCCACAGACTGACACTCCAACAGCCCTCTGAGCTGCCAGGATATGAGGTAATGCCAGTCTAATAACACACATTACCATGTGGACACATCTACTTTCACCCCTTTGTCCGCACCTCCACAGACTGAATGTGTTACAGTCCTTGGAAGGGGCTACTCTGACCAGTACCTGCCTGAGAAAGCAATGGCACACAGTCATACAGAGGATAAGAACTCCCCCAAGAGTGGAGCTGCTGGTGACAGCTTTGCTATGCCTTTGCACTGCTCTGGTAAATTTGCAAACCTTCTGTGCTGAGACCACGTACTGATACTACTCTAAATTTTGTTTACTGAATTTCTTCTACATAACTTGGATCGAAAGTGAACGTATTTTCGTATCTGCACAGACCAGTTATGTAACAACAAGAGAAATGACACACAATCGATGAGCATTGTGCCCATATACACACAGGCCACCTGCAGTCATACTCACACGTGCGTTTTCATAGTGTATTTTTGTTAACAAAAGGGATATATTGAGTTCACAGAATGTTAGCTTCCCATTATTATATGTAATTCCAAACAATAACGACAAAATGAGTTAAATTAAGAATTTAAAGCAAGGCAGCTACATGTATTTGGAGGCAGCTAATCTGTTAGGTTCATTGTCGCTTCTCATCGCTAACGAATCCCAAACCACATTCTGTTTGGGGAACAAAATGTTAAAACAGCCTAGGCAGTTCTCTTAACAGTAGTCAGAAATCAATACAGAAACACTTGAATCAGCAATTTCCTGACTGACAGTCCATCTCATAAATGCTGTAATACAGTTTTGAGCAAAGGCCACAGAATGAGCCATTTAATTTATAAGCTGCCATTGATAACAAAGTGAAGGACATTGTCACAGTTAAGGTGTTAAGCTTAGCCCAACTACAACTGCTTGCTTTCAGTCAGGGGTACGATGCCTTACCTGGCCAAGCTGTTCACAAGCTGTTTGATACTCAGCTCGCTGACAGAGGTCTTTCACACGCTGGTATTTGGGTAGAAAGTTTTCTTCTTGGGCATCTACCTTCTCATTCTCTCTCTTATGCAGTAGTTTACTAGGGAAAAAAAAACAACCAAAACCAAACCACGTTTATTTTTGCATTAATATTAATTCCAAGATATACATACAGTTTGCTGAAAAGGCTCACGCAAGCAGGTTATCAGACAAGTCCATAGCATCACTGGTGGCCAAAATTAATAGTCCAGTAGAAACTAGCACTTATTACAATCTTCGATAGCATGCAGTTATTTATCATGCTCTCAGGGAGCGTACAAAAACATACAAATCCAAGCAGTGTGTTTCATGTCCGACTGGCAGGCAGTAACAACAGTCGATATAAAGAGACCGTATCCCCCTCACTCTGCAGGGCTGCACTTTGCAAACCCTTCATGCCTCTTGTTACCTATTAAGGCAGAGGCATAGAGGGAATGGCCAGCAGATGAACACATAGAGAGGAAGGGTTATTCATATTCCCATGATACAAGTGGGAAGGTCGAGGGGCAGCAGCTGAAAGAAAAACAGGATGCCTTTCCATCTCTCAATCCAAGTAAAACTCCCCTTCCCCCTCCTCAATAGCACATTCATGCAGGCTGTAGGCAAAGGCCATACATTCCCTCCCATCACACAATCACTGCCATTAGGCATACTGCAGCCGTGTCCCTGCTGGCACAGCTAAATGGCTCTAGGTCTGTGGTAGAGAGCTGCTTTGGCTTTAGCTATTCAGTATACTTCTATTTAAAAAGACTGGGCTTTGTGATTAACACTTTCCTTACCCTCTTTCCACTAGGAATGAGTCTCTCCATACCTTCATCTTTTTCTTTAAATGGAACCTAGGAGTAAACAAGGAAAGGAAGAAGCAATTCCCACAAAACCAGTAATCAAATCAAATCCCACTCAATTCAGATGAGAAACACTACATATGACTGCACAAGGGGACATCCAGCTTTATGAAGCAGGCACACATGCCTCTCCAGTGCAAATCACGAACAAACATAGGATAGATCTGTTCTCACAGGGACAAAATCCACAACAGATTCACACAGTACAACTATTTCAACATAAGCATGTTTAAGGCACAGGGGATTAAATGAATTGTCCTTGATCACAAAGGATTGCAAATTAAATCAGGATTTCCTGACTCCAGTTTGGGTTCTTAGCCTGCAAACTACCCGCAAAGTATCAGATCCTAAAGCAGCTGCTCCTTTTCCCCTCTTCCCTCCACCCAAGTACTTGTAAAACAAATCTTCTTCTTTTTTGCTGCTGATTTTCTCTAGCAAGCATCCAGTCAAATTCTCTTCCTCAGTCTTTTTCCAATGAAAGTATTGATGGAAGGTCTGAAATAATAACTGCAATTCTGAGTGCTAGTCTGTCTTTATATTATAGTCTGATACACAATCAACCCTTTCAACTCAATTATTCTACAATTTTTTCAATATGAAATGATTTGCTACAAATGATGCCACAGAGACACTTAAAATCTATAACTCATATAGCTAAAGACCTTCACGTATAGCCCTCTCACTGCTACACAGATTACATTTAGTATATCCGCATGCCATACATGCCATATATCTAGTATATGAACCTCACAAAATGAAAATGAGTAACTGAAGTCAGTAACATATTGCCAAATAGGTCTTTAGATTTTCCAGTGAATTATGTAGTCATATAGATGGTAATTTTATTATATTTTCCTTTAAATTTGCTGTGTGTTGCTGAATCCTTGCTCAGTTTCCTGTACAAACACATGCATGTTTACACATACATTTACATTTCTTACCTATTCACTGGTCTCTCAGAATCCAGAAGCTTGAGAATGGATTTACCATCCATATCAGATGGAATATCCAATCCAGCAATATCTAGAATTGTAGGTGCAAGATCAATATTCAACACAATGTGAGGATTCCTGAAAAAATATATATGAGAGCCTGGTTTAATGTCTGTGCAATGATAGCAAGCAACTCCAGCTCTTCTACAGAGACCTGGGAGCTGAAAAGGCTTATTTTGTGACACCTGCAAATAAGAAAAGAGAACACAATCCACTTCCTTTCCATGAAGGGAATTAAAACGTAGAATATAGGTAAGTTGCATAACAACAAGGGGGACTAATATGAAGATTTAAAACTTTAGCATAGAGCATTTTCAAGAAAGCAAAGTAGTTCATAAGGCAAAGTTAGTTCATTATTGCAAAAGAGGGTTCAAAAGTCTTTCAAAACATGAGAAGGTATTGAAAAAACTCCTTGGATGTCTTACAGAATCAAAGTGTCTGCCAAATATGCTGATGACTTTATTAAAAAGTAGATCTGGCAGGTAGCACATCTGTTTCAAAATATGCTGTAGAAGCAAGTACTTCAGCTAATATCACAGTAAGCATGTTCTGAATAGAATATGATGAAAAATATATTGCTAGACACTACAGGAAATGACTAAAAGTTGCTGCTAATGCAGAGTGGGAGACAGGAAAAGGAAAGAGATCAGGAAAGAGAAAGTAGAGAGGAAAAAGTTATGGAGAAAAAAAAAAGAAAAGAAAAGAGAGAGAAAACAAAAGCACAGATTTAATTGGAATAATGTCTTCCCAAGCTATCCATTCTGCAAACACTTAGAAACAGTCATGCCCTGTTACTGAGTAGAGTATGGCATATGCTGCTCCTTAGCCACCACAGTTAGCAGGACAATATTTGAACTCAAACTGACTTCAAATTTGGTTTTAAAACATTGGCATCAACTCCTGAGTAGCACAGACAGTTCCTATCCCCAGATCCCTTGAACTGCCACAGCACAATATGGGTGAGTTTGCAGATCAGAGCATCTGGTTGCACAGCGCAGCATACAGGAGCTAAATCAAAGCCCAAATTTCCCATCATGTGACTTGGTTTTACTATGGGTCTGGTTTTGCAAAGTGTCTTCAGTTTATGTTGAACCTTACAAACTTGTCTCAAATATGTCTACGACAGTATTGTGTAATTACTCACAATATTACATATATACCTACTGTTTATCAGCTGCGTACTATTTATTTTTCTACTTTTTAAAAAATTCAAGTAGGGCACTTGATTTCTTAAAAGTGGCAAAAAAAAAGAGAAAGTGAGCATACTGCTATACAGTCTTCTACAGTGTTGAACATAAAGAATCACTGTGCTATGATTTGCAGGCACAAAGGAAGGATGGGACCAGATGGGCTGCTATACATGTCAGTGCAGAATTCTAGCTTAAAATACAGGACAGAAGAAAGCTGCTAAATTCACACTAATTAATGAGACACCATTCAAAAATTACTACATTTTTGAGCGAGTGAGCAAACAGGCACTGACAAGAGCATGGATGATGAATTAAATTGATGTACCTAATTTGATTTTAATTACTAATAATTGTGGTGTAGCACATTTGGTAAAAGAAATGAGAGCTTAGTAATGACTTGCTACAGTGACTGCTACTAAATCTTCGTCAGCATCAAAAGGGAGTCATGACAATTACTCTGCAGGAAAAACACAAGGTTCATGCAAAACACAGATGATTGAAGTTCTACCATTTAAAGAAAAACAGGCTGAAAGGGAGGATAAATTTATTATCTGATATATTCCCCCCTCAAGGTATTTTATCCTGTTCTTCCTATTTGTTATACTGCGATGGGCCCTGTTCTGTTAGACTCTGTCAGGCTGACTCCTCTGATTCTAATAGAAACATTTTTTCATCTTCAGAAGCCACTGAAAAATAAAAATTCAGTGGGATGGTTTTGCAGATTTTATGTATGCCTGGGTGTAAAGATCCTTGAACGAGACATGAGGTGGCTGGTCTCTAGCATTGCATGTTGCAGAAAAATTATCTCAGTCCACTTGGGCCATATCAGCACTGCCTCTCCAGTAAGGCCAAAACCTGCAGTCAAGGGGAAAGAGAGCAGGTTCCTAGGAGGCTAATCCAGCTCACTTGAAATTTAGTGCTGCTGCAGACAAACCTTTTTCAATGCTGAGGTAATATGTTTAATTCCACCTGAGGAATCCTTCCCCTGCCCTTTAGAAAAGTAATATTGTTTATTTCACATGCATAACTGTTATAAACAAATTAGACACATAGTGCAATATCTACAGAATTTAAAATTTTTGTGTCTACTGATAATGTGAATCAGTGAATTTAACCAGCAAATGGAATGAAATTTTTTTTACAACTATTTGCTACCATATTGCACATTGGATCTGTTCCTCTGCAGTAAAGAAAAAAAATTGTGTATGGAAGACTTTGTGCGTGTTAATTATGCTAAAACATGCACACTGATATAAATAAAAGGCAGCAAATTATGGCACTCTGTCCAAAATCATTACTTAAGTGCAAATATTTGCTATTGAAATAATTACTTAGAAAGTGTATTTACATAATTTCTTAGCTGATCAAAGCTACCATTTTAATTAACAGGCATATTCTGCATGCTTGCGTGCATCCGACAAACATCCCTAACCAAGTAATCTCAAAGGATGAACCAAAAAGAATCTTTTGTGGATGATAATATATGAACTATTATGTACATTCTGATTATAAACTGAAACAAATGGTTCCACTTTAATGTTCAGCAATAATTATCTACCGTGTCAGTGAACATTACACAATATATTTTTTACCTTGAAAATGTCATAGTTGTGTATTATTTGCACCTCTCAAAAGGAGGCAAATAAGCATTTCCTAGATCAGACATATTTCAAAGTGGCTTTTTCAGCTACATCCACAAAACTGCAGTGGCTCAGGCTGCACACCTATGCAAGCAAAAAGGCAACAGCACCTGCTGCCTGAGTAGACATATTTTTCTGCCAAAGGTGAGCAGGAAGTCAGTCAGGAAGGACAGGACTTCATGCCTCCATTTGGATGCCAAGACAATATAACTAAGGATGTGAACAGAAAGGATTTTTCTGATCACTACATACACACACAATGGCCAAGAACTTACAAGGATCCAGCCTCCACATTTGGACCTCGGACATAGAAAGGAACTCTGATATCAAACTCATATGGCATGGACTTCCCTTTCACCAGCCCAAACTGCCCAATGTGATAACCATGGTCTGCTGTGTATATTATATACGTATTGTCCAGTTCACCTGTTTCAACCAATGTATTGTAAATCTGGAAAAAAGCAAAACAAAATATAAATTTAATTCCACTGAGTAGTACTATATGTAAAATATGGGATATAATTTTCTTCCTATGTGTAATATACAAATAAATAACAACAGTTCAGGATGGCACTGAGTTATCACAATGAACCATTCAGAATAATCCATAACTGCATAATAATTTTACTAACCGAATATTGTGGCTATGACAAGGCAAACTTCTGTTTTAAAGTAAACATATTAGCATGTCATATTTTCAAAAGTGTTTGGGTTCAGTATTTTGCATGAGAGCTGTCAAGATAGTACTAAATACATATAGTAACAGAGATAAAAGTTTCAAGGTGATAATAATTTTTGAAGTTTTCTCTCTACCTTTATCCTTTTCCTGCAGCAAACAATTTTAATAAAATGACAGCATTTTGAATCTCATACTTATTTAAGCAACACTCAATGACCTTGCCTTCAGACAAATGAGTCCCCATTATGCAGAGTATTTGCAAAATCTCTTCCAGATAAATATCACTCAGTCATACTCTCTCACTGGAGAGAGAACTAACAAGGAGAATTAAAAGGAGCCTTAACTCTGTTTGTGGCTGCTTCAGTAGATTTACATGAGAATCTTTATGTGAAATGTACCAACTTAAGCACCACAGATCAATTTATCTATGACATTTTCGCTTGCAAAGGTACGAAGGTGGTGGGAGACCACAAAAGTGGTGCCTTACACAGATCCAGAACGCATCAGCACAGAAGAAAAACTCTTTTGTTGTTGTTAGTTTGGGCTTTTGGTTCTTTTGGGGGGTTTGTTTGGGGTTTTGGGGTTTTTTGTTTTGTTTTGTTTTTTTTTTTTTAAATTTTGAAAGATGATTAGATGCATATAATTCAGTAGAAAAGATCAGGCTGACTTGGTGATTACAACTAAAAAACAACCCAACTGATTTTGCCTGAAGTGTATCACCTAAAGTGAAACTATTTTACTAAACAGAAAATCAAAATAGTGTAGTAAAACAGCCAATCTTCCCTAATGCTGGTATCTGATCCATCTAAACAGGTTCATTAATATGAAGTAGAGATCATACTTGCCTGAATCAGTAATCATAAGACATTACTAACAAGTTGATGCAATGCCATCCAGATAATCTCATCTTTGCCTTACAAGAGTCCTCTTATTTTATGTTCTACCTTTTTTGAGTAAGAATGCCAAGAGATAAGCAGTAAATTGCAATCTGCCTTCTAACAACTGGAAACCCATTCAGAGTAGCTTTTAGCTAATTCAGATGTTTCTGTTCAAGATGCCCAGCTTGCACTAAGAAATTTCATTGTTACATAATGCAGACTTAATTAATTTTTTTTATATATATATATATA